TCGTGATGGTACCTATGTTGGTTCTGTGAAGAAGATTCCTCTCACCTTTCCAATTGCTAAAACCACTTGGTATGTTTTACGAAATTCAAGAGAATAATGATACCCAGAGATGCAAACTCTTCTTAGTATTCGAAGAAGAGATCTCATGAGTCCGAACACCACCGTAGCCGAGGAAAGAGGTATGTCTTACCTTATCGACCCCGCAATTCCCATGTAGCCAAACCACTTCCGTTGCGCATATAGTTGAGAAAACCTAAAAGTCCAAGTACAGAAAAAAGTGAAAAATGTCAACTTTTTCCACTTCTTTTATAATAAAAAAAGGCATCTAGTAAATCCTTTTCTTACTTTTGGCGGCTAAGGAAAACGGCTTGATACAAATATTTTGATAGATCCATAAGTGTATTCAATATTATAGCATCTGCTTAGAAGATAACCACAAATATATTTTACAAATATCTAAGTTGAAAGTTTTCTAAGTGCCGAGATCAAACATTTCTAAACAAACACGTTTAGTATGAAGAATTTCGAAGTGAAACTACCTTATAGAATTTTTGTAGCATGCACAGCATCTGTATATTAATTATATTTTCAGTATCAATACGAACAAGTTATTAATCAATGTACTAATTCTTCATCTCTCTTGGAATCTAATCATTTTTCCCTTAAGGTTGGAACGGGCGGCTTTTTAAAAAAATTGGTCCCTCAATCGGGATTGAAAATTTTTGGTCACATGAAAGCCTATATCAGATTTTGAATATATTAGGGCCGTAAAACAATAATATTTAAATGGAGAAATATATGTATACAAATCAGGTTCTATTGCTATGATATCAACATCTATTTTCACAAAAAAAAAGAAAAAACACACAGATCTACACTTAGAAAAATTGTATGGCTTAAGCGGTTTAATAGGTCTTGAAGGCCAAAAAAAAAAGGCTTGTTTTCTGTACTTTTTTTTAAAAGATACTAAGCAAAGTATAGAATTTATTTTTTTCTACATATAAAATTACAACATGTGGACAACATTTGATGAAAATTTGAATGAAAAGCAGTATAAGTTAAGGCGTTGGCAGTGTCGTGAAGTAGACCGTCCACAAGAAAATGCATTCGCGGTAGTCATGATAACTTTTTCAACTTTTATCTGAAATCAAAAATCCAAATTTTATTCTTAAAGTAGGTGAATTTTCCTTGTCCCTGAAAAAAGAAAAATTAAAAAAATTAAAAACTGAAAATTGAAAATTGTACAAAAAAACGTAATTTTTTTGACTTGAAACTTAGGGAAAATATTCCTGACACTTTGTACTTTTATACAAAAAAACTATCAAAAAAATAAATTTTTTGAAGTTTTCAAGCCCTGGGTTACATAGGTTATGAGAATAAATACTTAGGGGTTTCGAAAATATTGGACTTTTGGTAGGTCTTTACTTCTTCAGCACCCAAAATTTATGAGAAACAAACTGAAATTAGAGGTATGTAAGGCCACTAAGCTTTATATGACAATCTAAAATCATTTATTTGGTTTTCATCATTTTCTGATCTATGGTTTCCATGTAAGTAAAATTGATAGGCACATTTTTCCTAGCCATTCAGTTTTCCTTTAAAGCCCTTATCCTTGAGGGGTAAAGCTACTCTAGAGATTAAAAAATTTGGCTAGCCTACAAACACTCATGGAAGTCATGCAGGCTCATATCATAATTGAGCCCCCTCAAAGTTACAACGTTGACCTGTTATGATGCGGCTGCAATTTCGAGACACTCGTCGTCCAACCTTCTTCTGGTCATTTGAATTCCAACTTTGTTACTTTTTCGCGTATGCCATTCGTAGCTTCCTGTGCCAGTGAGTAGCAGGTTTTTGATTTTTGCTCGTTTTTCTCTTCATATCTCTCTTGAACTGGATTGAGTATTCGTTTGCGACCTGTCATGTTTTTAGTGGATAAATTCGTAAGTTATTCGTGAATTTTGATCACAATTCCAATGGATATTCTATGTTTAGGCAAAATTTTTTTGTGGCTTTTACCATTACTTTCTCAATATCTTTCGATTATATGAACACTTTCTGGTGTCTCGATTCTAAACCGTTGTATCCGTCGATTATCAGCCGAAAAAGAACACGATAATATGGTCAGCTTAAAGGGCACACCTAGTGTTGAGTAGTGAATGTTTATTAAAAAAAATACTTTCTCAATTATTTCAAAATTTCAAAGAATATATTTATAAATATTTCAAGAAAATACAGTGAAATTTTTGAAGAATTTTTAAGTTATAGTCGATCTCCAACTGCGCGAAACACAAGGTCCTTCACTGCTGCAGTGATTCCGGCCTTTTCCGCGGATGAAATCTAAAAAAAAATACTCTACTAGATAATATTGTCGATATTGACGATAAAAAAAAATAAAAATTCACAATATGGCGATGTTTTAAAAAAATAGTAGAGTTTTACTCTAAACTTTCGTCGTTTTTGGCCTGCCAAAATTCGATTTTTTGATCAAACCTAAATTCGGTAGGTCATTGTACGGAGAACTATATATAGAACATGTAAAAAAATTCGATAGTGATCGGATCACTTGTTTTTGAGTAATCACTGCAGCAAATTCGGAAAATGCTGTTTCGAGAAAAACGCGTTTCAAGATAAAATGATCGTTTTCACTCGTAGCTAATGAGACTATTTAAGTATGGATTTGAAATTTTAATATGTTATTTTTAAATGTGTAATCTACCGAAATTTCACGCTAGGTATGCCTTTCAGACCTGTAAATTATTGGATCAGCTTGGTATTATTTCACACAAAGAAGCTTGATATCTGGGTGCCACATGAGTTACTGAGAAAAGCCCTTGGATACAATTTCCATCTGCCAATCGCTGCTGAATCGTAACCAGAGCGAAGCTGGCAAAGTACGGTATAAATATGATATTTGGGGGACCAGACTTTCACAGACGAACGAGAAGCAAAGCAAAATGCAGAGGTGATACTTACTGTATCTGGTAGAGAAGTACCGTCATCCAAACGACCACTGCAAAACGCAAACTCGCACTGCAGTCTTCCGTATGGTAGTACACGATGCTAACTACTCGGCTATTGGTAGACTTCAAATATGAACTAGCCGCAAACTTGGCAACACTAGAAAGCAAAGCTTTAATTTTTTTCTCCTGACAGCTTTTGGGTAATACTTTTTTTTCAAAGAAGATAATCAATTTTTTGTATGTTAGAGAATTTTGTGAAAGCCGGTTTTACGAAGATACGAAATTAAAATCTTATTTCGCCTGGAGCTTCATTAAAAAAAATACACATAAAAATATATATATATTGTATAATCATATACAAGACCGGCATGACAGGAAATTTTAATTATTGATTAATAACATGGAACAAAACAAAAAGGCGAAATGAAACTATGAAGAAGAACTCCCGATTAATTAAGGCTGTGTGGAGAAGAACAACGCCAAGTTAATATTGTTTTTTTTTATTTTATCGGCGATTTTATATTTCAAATATTTTTCAACAAATGACAAACACATTAATTGTAATTATTCTACAATATATTCGTTTGTACGAGGTGTGTTCAAATAGTATCGCGAATTTTGAATTTGCGCTGGTTACGTGTAATCGAATTTCGATTTTTTGGTGGCTTTATGTTGGTACTCATGTCTGTCACTTATGCCGACACGCTCGGCCATTTTGAATGTTCACTTAATTGCTGACAGCTGCTTTGCTTGCACCTGTTTTGGATGGTCTTCGATTTTTATCTATTCAAAAAAAAAAAAAAAAATGGATCAAAGAACCTGTACGAATGTTGACTGTGGCATACAGAGACGCTACCATGGACCGAAGCAACGTTTATCGGTCGTACAAAATGTTCTCAGAAGGCCGAAAAGATGTGAACGACGAAGAGCTTGCCGGACGCCCGAGCACTTCAACAATAGACGAAAAAATTAATTGCAGAGACGTCACCACGCCATGAGTTCTTGACACAGGGTAGAACGGTCAATAAGCAATATTACCTGCAAGTTATGCGCAATTTGCGCGAAGCAATCCGCCAGAAACGCCCAGATTTGTGGAAGAACAAAAATTTGCCTTTACACCACGATAACGCCCCTGCTCACACATGGTTACTTGTGCGCGACTTTTTGGCCAAAAACAACACACTTATGATGCCGCAGCCACCGTATTCCCCAAATCTGGCCCCCTGTGACTTTTTCTTGTTCCCTAAACTGAAGAGGCCCATGAAAGGACGACGTTACGGTACGATTGACGAGATAAAGACGGCATCGAAGGAGGAGCTGTACAAGTTAAAAAAAAATATTTTTTGAAGTGCTTCGAAGATTGGAAAAACTCTTGGCACAAGTGTATAATATCTCACGGGGATTACTTTGAAGGGGACAAAATAGATATTCATGAATAAATAAATATTTTTTGAAAAAACACAAAATTCGCGATATTTTTTGAACACGCCTCGTATGCATGTATGTTCGTACAAGAATATGTGATTAGAGAAATCTGTGACGAAATATTTAGCTTTGTTTATTTACTGATTATAATTAAAATTAGCATTTATAACTAAAAGAAAACATGTTATTCGCTTGTGTTAAGTAAAACATAATGAAAAACAAGAAACAAAAATCATTTGTAGATTTTCGGAATCTTTTTTGAACTGTTTACTAAATATCAGCGAATATGTTTTTGTGGCGGGGACTTTTTTTCTTACCTATTCCTGAATTTTTACTTGCGAACTACGTCATCTCCTAGTGCTTGAGCTCATTTTTGTATTTTTGTAACAGAGCCAAACAGTTGCTGTTGCTATTATTATGTAGCCGAGTTTGTTGCTTAGCTCTTCACACCTATCCGAAGCTTCTGTTATTGCTGTGATATTGCGATTCTTTCACTTGCCCACCCCTACCAGCACCCACGAGTAGCTTTAGCGTTGATTTTATATTTAGACGTTGAAAATAAACAAACACTAAGCTCTCGCGGCTTGCCTTCTTTGCTATAAAACCGCCGCCGGATGCCGGTGAGTAGTTAGTTTTGTTGTGCAGTTAGTTATATCGACTTCCCGTTAACAGCCGAACCTTATTAAAAGATGAAATTGTTCATTGTACTCCTGGCCACAGTGGCGGTCGCTTGTGCCATGCCACATAGAGGCGGTGGCGGTGGCGGCGGCGGTAGTGCTGGCGCTCATGCCGGCGCAGATGCTAGCGCATTCGGCGGCGGCTTTGGTGGCGGCGGCTTTGGTGGCGGCGGCGGTGGCGGTCATCGCGGTCATGGTGGCGGCGGCCCTGGATTTGGTGGACAAGGCGGTTTCGGCCCAGGTGGTCAGGGAGGCGGCTTCGGTCCAGGTGGTCAGGGAGGCGGTTTCGGCCCAGGTGGTCAGGGAGGCGGTTTCGGTCCAGGTGGTCAGGGAGGCGGTTTTGGTCCAGGTGGTCAGGGAGGTGGTTTCGGTCCAGGCGGCTTCGGTAAAGCAGATGCTAATGCCTCTGCCTCGTCTAATGCCCAAGCCAACGGTGGTGGTAATGCCAACGCCAGCGCTAGTGCGAACGCCCAAGCCAAGGCTGGAGGCTATGGTGGCGCTGGTGCTAATGCTAACGCCAATGCTAACGCTAATGCAGGCAGCTTTGGCGGCAGTTATGGCAAATAAGGTACTCACACTTTGAACATAACACGACATACACTCACCTCGAACTGCCCAACATTTTTTTTAAGCTAATGTGATTTATAATGGATTAAGTAAAGAAAAAATAAATAAAAAATTAACAAAAAAAAAAAAAAAAAGAAATAAAAAAAAAAAAAAAAAAAACAAATGTTTACACATTTAATTTCTGTAGTGAGATGTTAGAATTATGACAGCGAAAAGGAGATATACAAATAAAGTGCGAAAAGCTTATTTTAGTCGGTTCAGCGAGGATATACGAGGACCATTTGCTTCGTTCGCAGATCCTCATCAACATGCCAACATTGCCTGCTGAGGTGGAGTCACAATTAGAAATATTTCTTTTTTATATTGTGGATGTGGACTGATCATACGATTTTCCAAGTGTGAGAGGCTCCTGTGTGATGGTCCCAGCTTTGACTGAACTTCAATTTATGCTAATATAAACTCAGTTGAAAATTTTTGAATTCTTTTTTATGGAAATTATAGGCGTGGCTTCATTTATACAAAGTGTGTGAGAAATAATTGCTTAAGGATACTCATTTTTATGATTTTTTATATTTTCAGTTTCTTGATGGCTGGAAGAGTGGGCGTCGGCATCTCATGCACTGAGCTAGATCTCGAGCAGGAAACTGTGCGAAGTTGATATCCAAGCCATATTTAAGCAATAAAACCACATCGTATTAGTCAGAAAATGTTCTGGAAAGCAGTAGTTAATGAAAAACTTGCTAAAATTGTCAAAATTGCCATCCGTTCGGTGATCGAAAGATTATATTGCATGCTAAAGACCCTGGAAGACACTGCACGTTGAAATTTCCGTGAGATCCGAAAGCCGAATTGGAATGAAGTGGAGTACTTAAGTCCTTGCAAGACCGCTAGTATCATGTGCTAAGGAACAGCCAATTTTCGTTTACGCGGTCTGGAAAGGACTGCAACACAGCATTTTATATGAGAAAAATGGGCGTGAGCAACAGTGACACATTCAGACACTGTAGGGAGGCATGAGTGAGACGTGGTGACATCTCCTCTGTTTATGTTCGGCGTTATTTATTTAACGAATAGAATTCGTTTTGGATATATAACAGCTTCGCTGAGCTAGTTCAAGTTTTAGTACTGAATATTAAGGGTTACTTAAATGATTTTACCTCCACCTGGCATTAAAATACTTCTATACGAGGCTTAGCAGTCAGCCTAACACAACAAAGGCTGCTATTCCGGTAGATGTCACTTTGAAAGCTGTAAACAACCCTCTGAAGTTATTAAAATTCATTACAAAAGTCGTGATAACCCGGCAGATACGGTTCGTAATACGAGAACACCTTCGGTCGTCGTGAAGCACCTTGTCGAACCGCAATGCATTGATCGGTGGAAAAATGGAGCTATTGGGATGGGTTAGTGATGTGAAGAATAAAATACGTGGCGGTTGCTCAAGAACAACTGAGAATATTGCTCTTGTAGACCAAAGTGTTGAAGAAACTCCAGGATTGTTCATACCTCGCCCTTCTTTGGAATTTTAATTGAATACACAAACGTCCTTACACAATATTTTGCATAAAGAGTTGGGTCTTAAGGCTTAAAAAGTTCAGTTAATGCAAGAACTCAAGCCGGTTAATCATCAACAACGTCGTGTCTTTGCTGATTGAGTCCTTGAAATGTTTGAAAATGATCCGGAATTTAATTTAATCTTGTCTGATTAAACAAATTCCGACCTCCATGGCTACGTCAATAACGAAAACTTTCGCATCTGATGCTCGGAAAACTAAGGATTTAAATGTTGAAAAGCCTCTGCATCCTCATTATGTAGCAGTTTGGTGTGGCTTATGGTCTGGTAGAGTCATTGGACCCAACTTTTTCGAAAATGACGCTGGAGCAACAGTTACGGTCAAAGGATTGTGTTATCGAGAGTTGGTTAATGCTTTTTTATGACCGAAATTCAATGGTATTGATCTGGACAACGTTTACTTTCAACATTGACGTGCCAAAAAAGCAACAAAATCTTGTGATTATCACCTTGCGACTTCTTCCAAAGGGGGCCATTTGAAATATAAGGTCTATGCTCTATGCGGTCTTGAACCTTAAAAAATGGAATTCGCGAAGCTGTTGAGGGCATACAACAGCCATTTGGAAAATTTCATAAAAAGGACACGGTCTTATGAGCGTAGCCGTGGCGGTCATTTATTTTGGTCGTTTATATTATTTTCTTTTATTAATGGCTTATGGCAAATCAACATCTGATCTTTTATCTCAAAAAATAGCACTTTGAATATTAAAAAAAAAAAAAAAACCATGCACTTGATCGCATCGAAATTCCTAATTTTTAGACCTTTTAAGGCCCTGTCTCAGAAAAATATCCATTATAACGGTGTTTCAATTTTTTTTCATTGAAACGTATTGGTTAAAAAAATTTTTGATAATTTTTTAGTACAAACATTTTTTTGATGATTTTTTGGTTAAACAAATTTTTGATGATTTCTTTTGATAAAAAATTTTTGATAATTTTTTTGTACAAAAAAAATTAAAAGAAAAAATTTTTAAATAATTAATTTAGCATTAGCTTTCCAGTTACACCAGATTTTCTTAATTATTTTTTATAAATCTGTTTATAGGTCCAATTTAGGAATATTCTCAGTTCTTGCCACGCCCACAGCTTCTTTAAAAACTGTTATTGGATGAGTGCATAAGTTCGTGCCCGATTTAAAGTGCGGACAAAAAATGAAATTTTTTGAAGAAAGCGCTTTTATTAATCAACTATGTATTCGCCATCATGTTCGGCAATCCACTCCCAACGTTCAACCAATTTACGGATGCCTGATTCATAGAAATCGCGCGGTTTCTCGTTGAAAAAGGTGTCAAGGTGGTTTTTGACGTCTTCCACATTTTTAAATTTTTTTCCATTCAAATTGTTCTGCAGCGATCGAAACAAATGATAATCAGAAGGTGCAATGTCGGGTGAATATGGGGGATGCGGCATGATTTCCCAATTCATCTCCTTCAGTTTGGCCAGGGTCGGTTTTGCAACATGTGGCCTGGCGTTGTCATGATGGAAAAGAACTCCTTTGCGATTGGCCAAAATCGGACGTTTTTCATCAATTGCTTTCTTCAATTCGACCAATTGCTGACAATACTTGTTGGCAGTGATCGTTTCTCCAGCTGGCAAGAGCTCAAAATAGATCACGCCTCGGATATCCCACCAAATGCACAGCAGTACCTTCATCGGATGCAATCCACCTTTCGACATCGGTTCCGCCCCTTCGTGTGCCTGTTTCCATGTTCTTTTGCGTTGAACATTGTTGTACAGGATCCATTTTTCATCACCAGTCACGAGCCGATCCAAAAAAGGTTCGTTTTTGATCCGTCGAAGCAAAGAAATTGCTGTTGACATACGGTCCACTTTGTTTTTTTCACTCAACTGATGTGGCACCCATGTATCGAGCTTCAAAGTGTACCCAACCTTTTTTAAACGACGAAACGCAGTTGATTTGTTGACGTTCAATTCACTGGCAACCTCTTCCGTCGAAATACGTGAGTTATTCGCAACTAAAGTCCTTAGAACATCGTCATCAAGCTCAGAAGGCCGTCCACTGCGAGGTTGATCTTCTGTTTTTCCTTTGCGGAATTCGTATAACATAATATGACGCATATGATCTTTTTCGTTGTCCATCTTCCATGCGTCTTTTCACCAACAACTCAAATCAAAATGAAGTTATTTTATGCTTGATTTACAGTTCGGACTGTCACTTTTCCAACGATATATAATATGTGTATATTTCTTTCACGAGCGCCACTCTCAAACGATTCGAACGGCATCCAGCGGAATCGGACACGAACTTATGCACTCATCCAATAAAAATATTACTATTACTGACCGATTATTTGTAATTTTGGCCGAAAGAGACAATCGTAAAAAATCAGGATTTTTTCACGTTTTATATGGAATGGCTCTAAGTGAAATATATGTATGTATATTGAGTATGAATGCATGAATGTAAGTGTGTAAGTATGTAATGCAATACTATTGTATAATCAAATGGATAATTTAATATTGAAAAAATATGCACAGCGCGTAGGCAATATGTAACTACTGCATTACATAAGGCTTACGAGATGTAAAACAACAAATAATGTAAATATTTAAACGTATATTTGTATGACCACATATGTCAGTTTGCATGTATGTGTATGTTATGTTTTGTAGCTTCTTCATTTCGAACAATCTCACTGCTCATTTCATGACGTCACACGTTAATACAACCCAACTTATTTCTCTATTCATTTTCAACCTAACTCATAAATATTTAATGCATTTTTTATTGCAAATTAAATTGGCTACTCATTCTAGGTTGCATCATACGTGTAAGCACCGGTATTTTATAAAACTGCTGCACTGAATGTGCCTTTCGACACTTGTTTAAGTATGCGTGTTCGTAAATTAGTTCTAATGAAAATTATTAAAAAATGTAAAACACCTAAATACAGGCTAAACACAGTCTTGTGAATTCTATGAATCTAAGTCAGTGAGCCATGCTTATGAGGTGGACAATTAAGTAGTGAGACTGATACCATAAAAACCTTATATTTCAAATTCACATATTCTACAACTCTGCCATCCCCCCTTGGGCAGCTATAAAACGATTCCAGCGCGGTTTCCAAGATTTATAAAAATTCTGGAACGTTTTAACTGGGATGTCAGCGAGTACCCTCGTCACGGCCGCCTGGTTGTCCTCAACTAAAATAAGATAGAGCGATGGCATATATATGAATGGTGAGGAGAAAGATGCCGGGGCAAGGGAAAGGTAATTTCAAGTTCGCAGGGCTACCACAATCGTGGCAATATAATCAGTCTCATTACTTAATTGTCACACCTCGTATAATTAAGCACTTCTTCCCAGTAGATGATCCTCTTAGGCTTGATTAAGCTGTTATAGAATTTGTGTAGTTGAATATGAATTTTCTTCTTCTTTTTCTTCTTCTTCATTGGATTGCACCCGCTTTTACGATTAAAGCCGAGTCAACAATAGTGCGCTATTCGTGTGTTCTCTTCGTTGTTTGGCGTTAATTGGAAATACCAAGTAAAATCAGATCGCTCTCCATTTGATCATTCCAGCGG